GGGGGGGACAAAACATTTAATTTATAGGTCTGATTTTGCTCTAAAGCAGATGCAATCATAAATAAAGCTACCAAGGAAGCACCATATCTGTACCCCGTCCTCCCGTTCCCCTGAACAGGGACAGCTTAACAAATGAATTTCCTCTCATTGAGTCTATTTTAGAAAATCAATTGTCCGAAACCCTTCCAGAAAAATGAAAACAAAACAAAAAATGCATTTCCTTCAACAGAAGCAGCCCAGATAAAGTCCACCCATATGCCAAGACACCCCCCGGCAGCGGCCAAGCCCCACGGCCACAGCCCTGGGCAGGGAGGAACCGAACCCGAGAGCCCGGGCAAAGCACACAGGCCCAAGACACTGCATTAACCTTAGTTATTTATTTAAGGCTGTGCCATGCCCTTGGCCCCTGGTGACGTCGGCATCACCTGCACGTGATCACCTCCCAGCAGAGGGGTTCTGGGGGCCAGGGTGATAAACCCCACGCCTGATGGTTGCCCACAGCTCAGAAAGGCTGAGCTTCCTGTAGGATGAATGGTAGAGGAGCACATAAGAAGGTTAGTGCATTCTCCCCATCCAATGGAAAACGCTTTATGGCTCCTCAGAGCAGCTGGGGGAGCAACAAATACCAGCTTTTCTCCAGGTCTGGTGGACCCACGTCAGTCCCTTGGATGCTGCTGTCCCCACCAGCCTCTGCACGGCCCCTTCCAGCCCACACGCTGGGCAGCACTGGCTCGTGACACAGCACCACATCCCCAGCAAGAGCTGCCTTGGAGATGCGGGCGTTCATTTTCATCTGTGGTTTAAGGAAAACACCTCCTGTGGCTCAGTTTTAATCTTTCATTAAAAGAAATGCTGCTCCCCTCCTGCTAATAGACCTTTTTTTCTTTTTTCAGATCACATTTATGGTGAAATCGATTAAAAGAAATGCTGCTCCCCTCCTGCTAACAGACCTTTTTTTTCTTTTTTCAGCTCACATTTATGGTGAAATCACTTACAGCCTTTCCTTTCAAATTAAAAACCCACGCAGCAATTTCCTCCAAGTTCCTGTCTTTGCCAAAAAGTATCACAAAATACGAAACCTGCGCCCTCTCCCCTCCTCAGACAACTCCTTGGCTCCTACGTGCCATATGGGCTTCACGCTGGAACTGCCTGTGCCGGCAGCTCCTTGCACTCCCAGCACCTTGGGGTTATTTCTGCAAAACACCCTCAATATTGCTTAAAACCTGCTTCCTCTCCAGGAAGAGCTGCAGGCGCTGAGAACATCCAGAGCTGATGCCTAGAAGACCTGGCCTGGCCACCACTCATGTGGAGAACCCTAGGGATGATGCCAAGGAGCTCCAGCTGCACATGGGCCACCCTGCAGAGCAAGAGCCAAATAAGCCAAAGCACATTTCCCATTGCCACCACGGAGCCAGACTACCCACAGCATCTTCATGTGCCTTGATGGCAGAGAATAGGTCCATTTGCAACAACCACGGAGCCAGACTACCCACAGCATCTTCGTGTGCCTTGATGATGGCAGAGAATAGGTCCGTTTGCAACGACACAAGGCCATTTTGGCCACTGCAAGTCATGGTGGGGCAACTACGGAGGGAAGCGAAGAGCTGAATCAGTTCACCAGCACTGGCTGATCTCCCACCACCCCGTGGGGACAATGGTGACCTGCCAATGGCACCCCCGGGGTCAGTACCTAATCCCTGCAGGAGGGGCACAGCGTCCAAGCAAGCCGATTAGCGGGTGGCCGGGCACTGCCGGCAAGCTGCTGGGGCCACCACGGCTAAGTCACTTTGGGGGCTGATCCCAGCTCCTTCATCCCCTCAAAGAAGGGATTTTCCAGAGGAGTGCCAAGCAGGGACACAGCTCTGCCACTTTTTCCTCCCTTCAGCAGAGCCACAGGGCACTGCTCCTTGCTCAGAACCTATGGGCACCGCATTTAGGCAAAGGGCAAAACAAAAACACCACTAAAATTACTCCGTGCACGTCCCTTTCCCCAGCTGGGCTCCCCACTTGGCAGCACCCAGGGCCAGGGGGACCCCCATCAGCCCACTGAGCGCGGGCACCATCGGTGACACCACCACTCCCAGGCGGGGTGACACTGCTGCTGCTGGCAGGGGACAGAGGCTGCAGATAACGAGAGATAAACCCAAATAATCCCAGCAAGAAATGCCCGCTTCATGCCACGGAGAGCACATGTCCCCATGCTGCGAGCCGTGACACTGGCCGCCTGGCCCCAGCACTGAGTGCCTGCTGCGGGCTTTAACGGAACGGGATGTCACCTGGGGATGGGGTGGGACCTGGAGACAAGGCAAGGGAAGGTGGAGATCCATCCCGATGGCTTCACTGCAAGGAGAAATCTCCCCGTCGCCCCCGACCCCACAGGCACCCGCCGGCTCGCCAGGATGGAAATAAACATCCCAGCACAGCTCTCCTCAAGCTGCTTATGAAATACTCAAGCTGGTGGGGTTCACGGTGGGTTGCAGGCGTTCCAGGGGAACGACTCCAGTGTGACTGCAGCCTCCATCCCCGTGAGGCCCTTTTGTTGGGAATGCAAACACACACAAAAATAAAAAAAGCCACTATTTCCCCCCCAAACACTTAAGGCTGCATCTTCGCCAGGCTGGCTGACCACACCAAACCATCTCCCCTGTTCTCTCTGCAGCTTGCTGCCTCACACTGAGCTCTTCTAAACACAGTCGCTGTGGGGCTCACAGCCTGAACCCCCCCTCTGTGGCACCTCAGCCCCGCTGAACCCCAAAGCAGGGAGGGGAGAGCAAAGCCTTCTCCAGGAGCGAGCCTCAGTGCTCCCCACCAAAGCAAGGGCTGAAGCTGCACCCAACTTGCACCCATCTGCTCCCGCTTGCACCCAGGTGCACCCAACTTGCACTCTCCCACAGGGAGCCGTGAGATTGGTCCCAGAGTCCTGGGGCAAAAAGCAGGGGGAATTTTGGCCACAGCTGCAATGCCCAAGGGGGGACCGAGGTGGATTGGGACTCAGGTCCAGCTTGACCACCTCAATCCCAGCACCTGGGAAGAAAAGAAGGATGCGAGATGACCAGCCCTTCCTGGACACTAGGTTCAGAGCTGCCCACGAGGCCACCATTCCAGCACAGGAGGGACACACTGGGCACCCAGGCTCCTTCCTTGGGGCCAGAGCAGCAAATTCTTCAATGAGCACTTAAAAATGAGAGCTGCCATCAGCAGCGCCCATCACAGGCATTGAGGCTCATTCCGACCAGCTGCAAGCTGTAGCTGAACATTTACAGAGAATAACTTGGCAATGTGGGTTTGTTTTATAAAAAAAAGAAGTGATGACAGAGCTGCAAGAAAAGCCTTAGTGACTGCTCACACGCTGCAACTGAGCTTGCAGGGCACATGGATGCTACCAGGACAAGTTTTGGGGGGGAAAAAAGACCCACAAGCACCTGCCCAGTGAGATGCTCCTGGCATCGACACCTCATGGCACAGATTGGTTCTTAAAAGGGAAAAATCATCAGTGCAACCTTGAGCCCAATAGGTGCAACCTCCACCAATCAATAAAACCCAGATCCTGCCAAAACAGCCCCGTGGCTGCTGCGCCCCCAAAATGCTTCAGCTACCTGCTCAGGAAAAGCCAGGACCTGCTTTAAAAAAAAAAAGTAGTAAGTAAAAGCCACGACCCCGCGCTCGCATCCTCTCCCTCTGCAGATTTAGCACGCCTGTATTTTTCCCATGGCCCCGGAGCAGTTAGTTCACCCTATCTGCAAATATTTCCAGCTTGCCTTGGAGTTCTTCAAAAAGCGAAGAAAACAGGAAATGATTCAACCGGCCAAAGAGGGTCGGATCCGCACGACCTTAAAGTATGCGGGGGACTCTGCGCAGCCAGGGAAAGGGGGTACGTCTCACAAGCAGAGGGGAACCCATCTGGGATCACCTATTTGGGTCTAAAAAGGACCTTTTGAAATAGTTTTCCTCCTGCTCCGTTTTCACAGGGTCAGAGCTTGGGCAGCAGTGTGAAAGCACCAAGAAAAATCACCCGAAAATGCCACGCTGCAGCTGCCATCCCAGCACGGGGATCCCCAGAGCTCAGCGGGTGGCTGCAGGGGGGGGACACTCTGGCAGGGCCAGCCCCTCTGCCTTTGGGGGATCCCCCGGGACCGCCAGTGAAATCAAATTACTCAACAAATAAACCGCGAAGGGAAAAGCTTCGTCTGCAGGATCCCTTTGGCTGCGAGGGTGGTGACCGGGGCTGTGTCCTACACGGGCTTGCCCTGCTTGCACCACAAAAATCTTGAATTCAAGGTCCTTAACTGAAAGGAATTCAAGATCTTTGTTTTAAGAGAAATAAATAAATAAATAATCCCAATTCAGCATCTGTTCTGAGCAGAAATCCTCAGGCAAAACTGCTTATCCCATGGCAGAGATGATCCGGGGCTTTCTCAGGGCTCTTAAACCTCCCGACTAACGCAATCCTCGGCCACTGGAAAAAAAAAAATAAAATAGGTCTTAGACCACAGCTCTGCAAAGCCCCTCTCTGGGATTAAGCAAACACTTCGCTTCACCCAGACCCGAGTACATGCTCAAACACTTCGCCTTACATGCTCTGTTGACACGGAGCTGCCGCGTCTCTTTGCCAGCTCTGCTATTTATTTTCTTTTTGACCGGTGCCAGCGTTTCCCTGGTTGTGTTCTGGGAAGATATTTCCTAAGCTCCCGGGGGGATTTTGCCTTTGTGAAACCCAAGCCCTGCGATGAAGCCTTCCCTCTAACAGTGGCACATTATCTCTGGGCTCCCCAGAAACCCACCGACACTCACCTGGGAGCAGAGGAAAAACCCCTGCAGAAATGCTTCAGTATTGCTCTGGAGCGGGCTTTGCTGCCCTTTCACATGCCAAGAGCACAAAAGTTAGTTTAAGTAAGTTAGAGTCAAAAAATTAACTGTATTTTTTGACTGTTTGCATGCAAAAAAAAATGCAAAAGAAAGTCTTTTTTTTCTAGGTATCCAGA